CCCCATCCCGCAGGCCCTGGGGCTGCCGCCAGGCTCTCACCCCACTTCTCCCCGCAGGGTCGGACTGTGGGTGCCTGCCTGTGAGCAGAGCTCAGCGCCTCCCACCAGACTGACCACGGCCCCACATGGCCGCATCCTGGGGGGGGGCTGCGGAGGGGGCCGGGGGGCGTCCAGCCCTCCCATGGACACAGCGTGGGGTGGGGGGGCCCTGCAGTGCTGGACCCAGGGAGGGGATGGTGTAGGGGCACCCTGCCCTGCTCACCCTGGGCGTGTGGGGCTGCCCCCACCACAGGCTCGCAGCAGAGCTCTCCATCGGGGCAGGGGCAGCCCCCAGGACCCCCCCAGCTCAGGGCTGCGTCCCGGGCCCCCTCCCACACCCTTTCCTTCCTCCCCACGCCTGCCCTGGCACTGTCCCACCCCCCCACCCCCCCCAGCATGTTTAAGGAGAATTTTCCAAATGGATGTTTCTATTTTATTGCTTGTAATAAAGGCAAGAGGCCAATGCCGCTTGGCTCAGCTCTACCCTGGGCAGGGGCTGGACACAGCCCTGACCCCCCCCAGCCTCACTGCCCAGGGCAGGAGCCCCTCCCAAACACCCAGTTGGCAGGGGACAGGCAGCTGCCCCCACCCCTGCGCATCCCAGGCTGGGAGCAGGTGCAGCGATCCCCCCCACAGCCGCTGACCCGGGTGCTCTGTCCCTCCTGGGGTGTCCCTAGGGGGGCTCTTCCTCATGGCTGCCCTTGCCTCGGCCCCCCCCGGCCCAATCCCGGCTGCCGGCTGGCTGCTGGCCCTGGCGGAGGTCGGCGCAGAAGAGGACCTGGCGTGGGGAGATATGATGGGGTGGGCATGACAGGGGTGGGTGGCGAGGGCTGAGCCCTGGGGTGCCCGGGACGGGGGTACTCACTGCCTGCGCCCAGCCAGCACGGGGGCCCCACAGCCCCCGGAAGAAGTCGCCTGCAGAAAGAGGATGAGCGCCAGCGCCGGGACCACCGTCCCCATCCCCGTGGGTCCCACGTCAGGGTCCAGCCCTGCCCTCACCGATCTCCTGGTGGGCCCGGGCGGTCAGGCTCCTGCCGCCCAGCGCCATGCCGTAACGCTGCCGTGCGATGCGCCAGACGTGGGTGTCCACCGGCACCGCCTCCGCCTTGTCCAGGGCCATCAGGCAGACACAGTCGGCGACCTGCCGCCGGGCAGCACCGTCAGCCCCCGCCACCCGCCCCCGCTCCCCGTCTCCCCATCCCGGCACCCACCTTGGCACCCACGCCGGGCAGGGCGCACAGCACCCTCCTGGCCTCGGCATAGGGCACGGTGCGCAGCTGGTGCAGCCCCTCGGCACCGAGGCCCTCGGTGATGGCCCGCGCGCTCCCGCTGACAAACTTGGCCCGGTACCCAAAGCCCAGCGCCCGCAGCCGGGCCTCGGCGTCAGCGCCTGCGGAGGGGGACGACAGCGTGGGGTCGTGGGTGGGGGGACAGCGGGGGAGGCGGCGATGGGGGGGCGGTGGCAGACCTGCGAGCGCCGAGAGGGAGGGAAAAGCGTGGAAGGGCCGGGCGTCGAGGCGGCAGAGGCGTCGGCCGAAGGCCCGGCAGAGGCGCTCGATCATGGCGGTGATGCGGGAGATGTGGTTGTTGGACGTGCAGATGAAGGAGAGGAGGCACTCGACGGGGTCCTGCCGCAGCACCCGCACCCCTGCCGGCGGGACACGGTGAGGGGGGACGCCGGGCGGGTGCCGTGGCCTCCCCCCGTGGGGCCACGGGGTCGCCTCACCTGGGAAGTCATCAGCCACCTTACGGAAGAGGGGGTCGGCCGCCCCCCAGGCGCGGTACAGGGCCGGCAGCCCCACGTCCAGCTGGAAGTAGTCGCGCAGGACCCGGTCCGTCTCGGCACCATCCAGCTTTGCCGCCTCGGCGGGACGCCCGTCGCGGTCGTCGTCGTCCTCGTCGCCGTACACCGTGTACCAGAGGCGGTCCCGCTCCTGCCTCAGCGTCCAGACGCGTCCCCCCAGCACACCCGTCCAGGCCCCCGGGCTGCTCTCCCACCACCTGCCGCACACGGGGGTACGTCGGGGCCGGGCCTGACCCGACCCACCCGGCCGGGGCAACGCGGGACCGGGACCCCCGGGGCCGCCTCACCGGAACGTCTGTCCCGACGACAGCACCAGGTCCAGGCGCAGCTCGGCCGGCGGGCAGGGCAGGCAGCGCCAGAGGGACGGGCAGGCGGACGGGGCGT